TAGAGAAAACCCTTTTGAATTAAATTTTTAAATGTGAAAGTAACAAATAAAATGCTTATAACTGTAAATTTGTTGATTTTAATATAATTGAGAATTTGAAATGAAAATTTGTCACAACTTTTATTCATATTCTGAATCAATCAGATGGGTGGACATTATTTTGCAATCTAGATGAGTGGTTTTCGTTTTCGTTGAGAGCTCAATGTGAGTATAGAAATTAAATTAGTAAATCTTTAAATTAAACAAAGAAGACATTTTTTTTTCACTAACTTTCAGCGATAAAAATATAACAACAATATCAAATGAATTTTTTTGCTAATAAAATATTTGGTAGGACTGAGACCAAAAAATTCCGATGGCAATGATTGATCACGTTTTCACTAGTCGTGAATAGTTGATTTGTCCTTAAATTTGCAAATAAAATACCCATCAGCTATATTTGGTAGGACTGAGACCTAAAATTTCCGATGGCAATGATTGATTACGTTTTCACTAGTCGTGATTAGTTGATTTGTCCTTATTTTTGCAAATATAATACCCATCAGCTATATTTGGGACTTGGGAGGATTGATTGTGAGACCTAAAATTAACATTGGCTTGGATTGCTTAAGTTTGTATGTTTTTACTTATTTTCGCGGTTTAATATAAAACAAGATTATTAAATTATAATTTATCAATAAAAAAATTTTTTGTGACTTTTCAATGATCCGTGAACCTAAAATCATTAGAAAATATTTTTAAAGAATTGCCATCAAAATTAATCACAATTTATTAATATTTAATTAAAATTAGAATCTATTTAAACGATAAATTTCAGTTTTTTATTGTAATAATTCCATTCTAACAGCAAACAGCTACCTGCTGATATAAACATACATTAAATTTTATGTGTTAAATCTTATAAATTTATTTTATTTTTTACTTATTATAATCCTTTGCTGAGTATCATTGTTACCTTCCATATTAAAAAAAAAATTGGGAATTAATTACCTCCGTGGTTTTTCTTAAACTTCTGAATCGAAAGTGACTTCCGCGATAAAGATTTTCCAATCTTGATCGAGCAATTTACGCAAGCGGCGCGTAAACACAATGGAGATCTGTTGCAAAATTTAGTAAAAATCCAATTACCGCACGCGATATGTATTGAGATTAATTAATTTCCAGTATATCGGAGGCTGCTAGGCGCCAGCGATATTTTTCGCTTGCGCGTGATCGCCGTTCAATTCCAATTACGGCGGTAAGTAATGCTTTTCCTTATCTTCAAGTACGCCCCTGACTCATGCATGCACCGACTGCGGCGGCAAGTGTTTATTTTGCATTCGCGGGTTATTTATTAGGCGATCGGAGAAACAATGAGCAAAGCCGCATGATTTACTCGGTCGCGCTGCACTGCCAGGAATTTTCAATTAAATTTTTATTGCAATCCGAGAATAAAATATGTATAGTGGACGCGCGTTGCACCACGCTTGTTATTATTTCGAATATATATAAGCGCTAGATATGCATCTCTTTTAGCGCGTGGTAATGATCTTTCGCTCGTTCGCTGCAGCCGAATCGACAAACTTCTTGCTACACTAGTTAGTTCTTTCTTTTGTTGCCTTATCTCCTCTGTCTCTCACTTGGCCGCTGCTGTTGATCCGCCTTGTTTCAGTTGAATGCTGACTGAGAGATTATGCAACCGGTAGTTTCTCACTGGAGTCACTAACTTATTATTTTAATTTAGAATAATTTTTTATTAAATTTGAAATGTAAAAAAAAAAATGCATCTTGATTAAATAATTTTTGAAGTTTTAGTTCTCACTGGTTCTTCCTAAAATTCTTACCATGAACATTCAAATTGTTATCCTTTTACATTTTCCAATCTTATAATTAATAGCAAAATAAACACTGTTTATTTTTTTTATGAATAATTGACTTTTATTGTTGAAGACTCGATTTTTAAGCTTTACGCCATTGTTCTCATGAAAAGATTCAAATGATTTAAATTTTATAAGAACACTTATTTGAAACATTTATGAATCTTATTTTACATCAAAAAAAATTAAGCTTCTCTTATTTATGCAAATTTAGCTGATTTTTTTTTGCATTTCCCTATAATACTAATTATACTACTTATTGTTAGTTGTCGATTATTTAGTCACATTGAATCGATGCTAAGTTGAGAAGATTTTGTAATAAAAATTTCAAATTACATACTGCAACTTAAATTCTTCAAGCTTCTTTCCAACAATAGAAATTTAATGATGTGGATTATAAATAAGATTGCAAGTGTTTTATGTTAAATTTTTTATTCACATCGAGACTGGAATTTTCCATAAAAGAATTTTAATAATTTTTGTATGCATGAAAAAAATTTATTATTACAAGCCTAAAACAAGTAGATTTTTTTACCACCTTCTGATTAAATTATTTGTTCCAAATGTTTAAACAATTTTACGCTGTATAATTTTTTTAGCCCATTAGAGTGCAAGTGCTGCTAGTGGAAATTTCATAAATTTCATTGTTGAAAAGCCATATAAAAAAATCATCAAAATTGCCACTTTCAACGTTTCAGCAGTTCTTTGCCCTCAAAACTTCAGCCATACAGTTTCACTTTTGCATTCATTCATACCAGTTAGGACAATATGTACAAGTGAATTCTGATGTCACCGCGCGAGAGGTGTGCTTGATTTGAATTACATTGTCAGAAGGCAATTAGTCTCCGATTGTTGCACAATCGACATGTTCTCAAAAGTGGAGCGCTAAATCACGCCGAGTTTTGTTTGCTTGCAGGATTCGTGTTTGTTTGCGAAACGAGTGGCTGCCAAAAATTACCTGTCGAGTGTAAACACGGTTCATTTGCATGTATATGCTAATGAGATTTGCGGTGCGCGCACATGCAGCTCGATTTATGCGCGCGAATGAATAATACAGTGCGCCGCGGCAGTATGCAAAGCAGCGAGTAGTTGGAATATTATAAATAGCAGTTCCAGTTCACTGGTTCGTCGACGCTTCATTCAATTGTGTGCCGCGACCGGGAGCATTCCCGACGCGTATAATAGCTTACACACAGGTATTCATATTTTAATAATTCACGAGGGCAGTGAAAGAAAGCAAAATTTTATATCTTGGTCCAATTTTAAATACTAAATTTATATAATATAACATAACTAGACTATATTTGATTCATATTTAATTAAATATGGCTAACGATGATTATTACATATTTAAAATATACTAACATTTTTGAAATAATCAATATCCCAACATATTTATCCTCAAGCAATTCTAATGATAATCATGCTAAAATATATTAATATACATTCAACTATAAATGAATTACTGAAGAGCGTCAATCAGTTAATTGTAATTTCAAAATCTCATGTAATCTTTCAATATTTGGTTCATTATATAAATAAGTTTCAAATTTTATTGCACACATTTTGCTGGCAACTTCTATTATTAAAAAGTATTTATTTAAATTAATAGACAAAGTTTTGTTAAATAAAACAAAAAAAGTAAAACATATGAACAATTAAAAAAAATTAAACTTCCATTAAAAAGAAATCTAAATTTGAGAAATAAATTAAATGTAAATAATTTGAACAATAATATTAACCAAATCACATGCTATGATATTTTTAATTTTTATCACAACCCCGTTGTCCACAGTGAAATCAAGCCAGTGCACTGCGACGCATTAAGTTTTTTCAATGCCCCGTTGCGACCCCATTTTAAATGGGTGTCAGCCAGCAGAAATTCGAAGGAAAAGGAACAAAACCAGTCCGCACCTGGATTGCTCTACATTATCCAAGTCTGCCGGTTGAATTTATTTTTATTCAGATCGGCGCGGCCCTCTTTGTCCGGTGATCTCTAATGGTCATTCATTCGGCGCCTTTCAGTACATTCGCGTGGTTCTAACGTAAGACAGGTTTTTAACTAGGCGTGACCCCGCGACGGACACTTTGTGTGCACGAAATTATTATTTATTGTGCGCACCCATTCGCTCTCACTCTTTTATTTTGATTTTCCCCCGGCTAATCCGTCGACGTTGTTTTTTCAATAAGTGGCTCTCGGGTGAAAAAGGGAAATAAAATGCTGCGCCATTCTTTCTTCTCAATGCTTTTTGGCGACATTGGAACAAATGTTTAAAAGCTCCATTGGACCTTTTCGGGGCCACACGTGCTCCCAGATTGAAAACTGCTTGTGGGAAATAAAAGAGCCGGATCAAGTTCTCCAGAAAGAAAACACGTATATTTATGCGGACTAGTTTCTTTTTCATTTTGAGAGATGCAGTATTGCAGTGGCTGGATTCATTCATTCGCTAAATAGCAATATCAAATACGAAACTAAGTGTGCAACATTTTCTTTAACTGCGCCTTTGAACTTCATTGCTCTTTTAAAGTTTATGCTTTCATAAATGTTATGTGCTCATATTGGAAGGAATAAATAATGAGAACAAAATAAATAAAAAAGACTATCACAAAATCTTAAATTTTAATGCAAATTATAAAGAACTTCGACGATTTATGTTTTGTTAAAACTATATCAATTAGTTGAAAGCAATATCTATTGAAGTTGGATCACCAAGTATATTAAAATAATTTTGATTTGGAAGGAGACAAAATTTTCAATCGATATGTTATTAATAATTATAAAACATAAAAAAAAAATTAATCTGAATTGAACTGATAGAAATTTTATCGCATTTTGAAAACAGCAACATTAAGAAATTTATTTTAATCTATAAAAAATTCAATTTCATACTGAAGAGAAAATTAGATCTATTAAATAAGTAATCTGTATTTTTAAACTTTTGAAGGACCCCCAAATTATAAATTTAAGAAATGAAAAATTTTAAATTTCTCTTCTATAGTATTTTTTTTTTAAATTTTTTTTTCTCTTTATATTTTGTAAGTGCCTTCTCATTCATAAAATTTACCTGTCGCCAAGTTTTCTTATCACTATAGGAGTATAGCAAACTGAGATAACTTTGATAAGATATAGAGTAAAAAAGTTGCGCGAATTCTGCTGTGTCATTTACAAAAAGCTCTGCTTGCGACCAGTCATTTGCTGTTTAAGGATGTCTGGCGAACGCAAGGTGGACTTGACCTATGAGGACATCGTGGCCCTCAAAGACGAGATTGTGCTGGTGGACGTGCGCGACCACAACGAGATCGAGGAGACGGGCCAACTGCCCGGCAGCATCCACATTCCGCGTGAGTTGCAAATATGAAAATTGTGATTGTCCGCCTAATTGGCCGACCCAATTGAAAATTTAGTGCCAGAGCTAAAAGAGGCGCTGCTTTTACCTCCCGAGGAGTTCAAGAAGAAATACGACGGCGCCGCGCCTTTGAAAAACGCGCCGCTCGTCTTTTCCTGCCGCAGTGGAAACAGAAGTCGCAGGGCGATGAACGCAGCCCTCGAACTCGGATTCGCAGAGTGAGTTGAAACATAAAATCATAAATCTTCATGCTGACCTTCTTAAGCCACTATTGATTAATCGTTGTAGGTCCAGGCACTACATTGGAGGATTTTTAGACTGGCAGGCCAAAACTCAGAAGTAAAAATAAGAGTTTACAATAAATTAATCAACAAATTAAAAAAAAAATGATTCACAGAAGTTTTCTATTTTCAATAAACATTAAAATAAGAATGTATTATTTTATTTTTTTATGTTTTTAATTTGTATCATTTTAAAAGTATATCACAAATTACATTTTTATTAATTATGCATATTTTTTTTTTTTTTTTTAATTTTGTTGTTATCTTGCTAATAATACTAATATTAATCTTTTATTTAATTTTTTCTTTAAAATGGTCTTATTTCTTAAATACAATTAAAAATTAATTAATATTACGTTTGCTTGATCTCCATGACCTTAATTTATAGCAGTATTGTTAATCATTACTACTAATGGGATTGCTTTTTTTTAATGAGATAATTTTGAACGTTTTAAAATATTTAAACTTTATGATGAGCACATTAGCACAAATGAGCAAAAATATACGTGCAAGTGAACACACATGTTCTATATAAATTTTTATCATTATTATTATTATTATTTATTCTTCTTTTTACTAATAAATTTCATTAATAATTAATATCGATTAATATTTTCCGATATTTTCATTACTGTTGAGGTGTATGAAAGATTTATCTAATAATAAGGATATTAAGGATAATTAAATTATTTTCATTGGAATGATCTAAAATTACTTGAATGCGAATTTAAATTAAAACAAAAACTTATTACATGTGAATAGACCAAAGTTAGTCTACGTTGGCAGTTTTTTTCCACACCGTCTCTCAATTAATTATTTGAATGATTGCAATTCACATTGCTATTTATCTTCAGTTGTATTGTATAATTCTAGGGTTTCACTTTCGAGCTGTTTTATCGCCAATAGAGAAATAAAACACCTCCAGAACCAATTCTGGAGCACAGCTGCACGAAATTTCATCTGACAATGAGGATCGATTAGAAATTGAAACGTAATCGATTAACAAAAATAAATCAAGCAACTCGACGCTGCCGTGGCCGAATTCTTTTGATATAAATAATTCAAATGCAGCTGCCGGCCAAAAATCCGCCCACCGCGCGAGAAAGTGAAATGCAAAACACCACAAAAATTAACCTTCCGACCTTAGAAAGCTAATTATTGCTCTGCTTCCTTATGCAATCCACTCTCAATTTGTATAAATGCCCAAGTAGTAAAAAAATAAAAGACTCCAATCAGGCACAATGGCATAACAAACGCGAGATAAAATTTATAACAGCGGCGGCAATTGTTCTCGGCACTGCGCGAGTTTAAATAAAACCGAGATAAGAGGTCTCACAATGAAATGCGCTAGACTATAGTGAGAGACGTACTGTACGCCTTCTTGTATTTGAGCACCACTGAGTGAATTCGAACGGTATCACTCGCAGGTTAAATTATACTGAAAGTAGGCATGTTATAAGTTGTACGCGATTATCTTTAATTTTTTATTTAAATTTTTGCTGCCCCTTTTTATCGCAATTTTATTAGTTGCTAAAATTATATTGTTTAATTCCCTAATTTCATTTTTTTTATTGTTTAAATATTTATTGTATAGAGAATAAGTTTTGCCAATAGTTTCAATCTTTTTATTTATTAAATTAGTCATGGATTTAGAAAATAAATTATGCAATTACATGATGATGGGCAGATAGTCTCTATCGAGTTTTTATTTTAATGGAACTAATATATTAGAAATCCTTCTGTTTGATAAAATTATTAACTTCAAATAAAACAACTAATTTATAATTTACGAAGTACTGGGTAGCTTAATAAAGAAATAGAAATATAAAAAAACATTTAAATAAAAAGTAAAAAATATTTAATTAAAATATATTTTTTTTAATTACTAAAGACTTACAAATTTATGTTTATTTTCATCATACAATTTTTATTAAAATTGTAATTTTATCAATTATCTTATCATTTACCATTCAACAAAATTTTTTTTTAAGAGCTAGATTACAACACTCATCCATAGTATAAACTTAACAATATATCAAGAGAATAAAATGCCATTATATGTGAAAGTAAATAAAATATGAACCTCACTGCTACTTTTTCATTTTTAATTTACAATCTTTTACAATATTTTTGTTCTATACCAAAAGCAATCTGCACTGTGCATGCGTTTTTATAAGCAGGTATTCAACGAATAAAAAAAATGGGCTACATTCATTTGTAGCAAATCGTTAAATCTCCAATAAAAACTCCCTATTCTAATTTAAAAAATGTAGCTCTAGCTAATTAGCATCACGATAAAAATGGGATTGAGAAAATATTTCCATTCTTTATTAGGAGTCTAATTATGAAAATATCCTTTACGGTGCACAACATCTTATAAAAATGAGCAGCGGGTGGAGTATCTGATAAGGCATTTGAATGATGGAAAGCGCACCGTGTGTATAGTTATGCTCGGTGCTGCCGTTCTTTGTGACTGTGCAGTCCGTCGGTTTTTCGTTTGCCTGGCATACATGTATATAAATTGTGTCTGACCCAAATCGGGACAGCGAAAAGGAGGTGTATTGTTCATGCAGAGTAAGAAAGATACAGGTTGGAAAAGGCCCCGGTAGCACGTCGCTCTGATTAATGGTGGCCGTCTACGATTTTTCAGCAATCAAGTCACACCTCCGCCAAATTGTTATCAATCACCGCAGTTGCGTTTTCAAGCCCGACGCTTTAATGCAGATTTATTAAGCGTGTCTAATCTAAGGTACCAAGTTTAATTTTTTTTCTGCGTGAATTATTATACGGAGTCAAATTTTCCTAACGGGAAAATTGCGACACACTCGCTATAGCTCGACTCACGCCCTCGGTTTTATCGGAATTTTGATGGAATTTAATGCGCGGCGTCAAAGGCGGATTGTTGTTATTATGCACGTATTGTCATCAGGTTAAGTGATTGATGCACGCGATTCAAGAATTCCGCCGAGGCTTTTAACAGAAGAAAAGAAAATCTTGTTATTCTCGCTTGTCAAGGATCTGGCGCGTAATACGGCTAACTCTTATAGCGCGCGGTGTTTTGCAAAAGGGCGCGCTTGAATAATGTGCTTTGATACTCGTTTGGCACCAAAGGTTGACGTTTCAAAGAGTCGGAAATTAATAAAACGATGATGACAAAATTGAATGTACAAAGTATGTGCAAAAAGGAATATTAACTCAAAGTCCCGTTTTAATTTTTTTTAAATCTGCTCATAGATTTTCATAAATTCAATTACATTAATAGGTGGTTAATTGAAATTAATAATTTTGAAAAGCTAAAAATTAAAAATTGGCGAAACAAAAAGTTTCAAAGTTTGACCACATATATCAGGGTAAAATTTTCTGTGCTCTACAAATTAAATTGTCCTTGTGATTTTTGAGTTAAATTGCTTCATCAAATTTTTTTATTCAATTTGTTCAAAACAAATTGTTTAAAAAAAACTACACAACGGCAAACCAATGAATTTGCTAAAACTTCCGTTATCAAAAAACACTCCATCGGTCATAGAAAGCCTCGATTGAATTATTTACCTGTTTCTACCATTGATTTACTAGAATTATTAGGTCCATGGTTTCTATACCAAACGTTTTGCTTTTTAAGATGAACTGCGCATTGATATTCATTTGAAATGACAATTTTGGCAATATTTGAATCTATTGAATCTGTTTATTTCCTTAGATTTTAACACGAGAAACAACAAATTTTTAAGAGGTCTTCCTTTGTATACTAAATAAGCAAAAATTATTTTCCAGTTATTTTCAGGATTGAATTAAGTAAAATTCCCATAATAACATTTAAATTTATTTATAAATTCTTACTGTTTTCTTCTTATAATATTTGATCCCTTCCTCACTATAAATTTGAACGTTATTATGCAAAAGCCCAGAGCTTGAAACCAGATAAAGATATTATTCAAATTAGAGTGTCATTTGATTCACACGTGTTCACTCTATGAAATCTCGTCCCGCCAAAAGTCCGTCTGCCGCTCTCTCGTGTAACCTTGCCCTGCACCCTCCCTCGCCGCCACCCATAGCAATTAAATCAGCTGCTAATAGAAACCGGGGTTGCTGTTTCCAAACGTATCTGATTATAATACCCAGTCAGAGCACACTCGTTTGTACAATCAGTTTTTATTCAAATCTCTCGGCCAGAATAGAATCGTTAGGCCCACACATATGGCGATATAGGCAAGGTGTGCTGCGGGATAAAGAGCCAAGTGAGCGAGGGTGACCCTAGTTTAGTGCAATGCACAATGAGAAAGAGACTGGTCTGGTTCAAATAAAAATGAACTCTCGGCTCTTTCTTTCTTTCTTTGCCTTGCAGCACGCGGGCACGCGCCAATATACAGAGATCGCCCATGTATTTATTGCACGCAGCTTGCGCTCGTGTATTTATAGGTGAAGTACAGATGCAGCTTTTCTGTTATGCTCACTTTGTTCTCTTTCCACAACGGTATCCTTTGCAAACACAATCATATGCCCCAAACAAGCGTTAATTTAACCGCCCTCTTCAAATTTATTGCGTCATATACCGCAGCGGCCAATTCATTTAGTCAATTAAACAAAATTATTTTATGAGGTTTTTACGTGGTCTTATTGAAACTGTGCGAGAAAAACTAAGCTCTGTTTGATTCAATTCAATTCATTTATTGCCCAAATTTTCCGGGTTTTGATTGAACTTTTAATTTTTTTTAAACAAAAATATTTATTTTTGGGTCATTTAATTATTACTTTCTCAATTAAAAGTAAAAATGTTGGTATGCATCATGCATTCTAATCTTTAAAGCCAAGTTTTTCTCGCACAGTTCCAGTAAATCCACGTAAAATCCTCTTTAAAATTAAACCCTGAAACTGCTTTACACTTTACAGCACAAACAAAGACACTTAATAATTGAAAAAAAAAAAACATGCACACAAACAACTATTTGAAATTTTTTAAATTTGATATAACTTATGAAATTCATAAATTCTACAAAAGCACAATTCTTCGGCAAGCCTTTAAAAAATTCATTTAATTTGCTTGCGCATCAAAATTTTTCTATTCATTTTATCCAGTTTAACTTAAACTGTGAGATATAAAATAATTATAATATAATACAATTTTAATTAGACAAAATTATAATTATAAAATATTAAGG